AAAGAGGCACCCCACTTTACCTCATCTGAGATCCTCAGAGTCTGAGCCACTGTGGATTTTCACAGCGCTCTGGCTGAGGATTCCCCTTTCTAGTGAGTGTGGAAGGCTCAGCCCCTGTCTGATTTCCCTGGTTTTCTTTGTTTGGAGATGCAGAAGCTGGCTGGACATAAAAACAAAGCCTGCCCTTTGCCACTGCAACTACCAAGTCCTTTCTGATTCACTCTTAAAGATCCTGCCTCAAGAACAGTTTCTCTGAAAAGCATTCCAGTGTCTAGTGAGGGTTTAGCTTCTCCTTGGGTCCCCATATAAGCTGTTGCTTATGTATTACTTTGTGTTCCAACTTTTTTGACTGTCCTGGTGAATCAGATGCCCCCACACCTCATGAAGAATAAGCCAAGCAGGACTGATGTCTAAGGAATAAGCTTTTACTGTAAGCCTCTTGCTGAAGAGGTGGTGGTGTAAAAGTATGAGAGGTTGGCTCCCATGGCCATCCAACTCTACTATACATCTCAGGCACCATCACTGGACCATATGAATCTCCAGCTCCTGTTCTCTGGCTTAAGAGGAGAGATGAGGATCAGAACCCAATGGGGAAGGTAAGATTCATGTGTCTCCATATTCCAAACTGACTTCCCCATATCAAATGTCCCAGGGTAAATGTACCTGATCAGATATGGGCAAGGCTCCAAGGCTTCACTGTGGTCAAAGATGGACCTATGGGCAACTCTTTTTCCTCTCTCTCTCTCTCTCTCTCTCTCTCTCTCTCTCTCTCTCTCTGTGTGTGTGTGTGTGTGTGTGTGTGTGTGTGTGTGTGTGCTTCTTTTAATTCTACAGATTACTATACCACCCAGTCTGAATAGAACCACTTTTCTAAACAATAAACCAACTGAGCCAATTGACTGTTTCCTCTTAAATCCTAAACCTCTCAGTGGTAAATCCAACAAATTCCCTCCTCGGACCCTCAATGTCTATCAGAAACGCTATAATAGGGCATTTACTGGCTCATTAGTGCCCTGTCTCCCACCACTTCCCTTGATCTTTATACCAATCCATCCTTGAGCCTTTGGTCCTGCATGAGCCAAATATCCCCTTGTCTAGAGATCAAGTGGAAAGAGAACAGGAGAGTCATTCTTCATTGTTCACTTATTCATTCAACAAGTGGGTTTGGGGTGCCTATTATGGGTGAGTCTTGGTGCTGAGCTCCTGGGATGCAGCACTCAGCAATACTGAGAGGGCTCTATGGAAAAGGTAAGTGTGGCTTAGAGAAGTGAGAAATGCCAGACAAACCCGATCTTTCCAGTCTCCCTCATACTTCTCATCCAATGCTAACCTTCATGTGCATCGATGCTTGTCCACAGCTAGAATCTATCATAAAACCTGCCCCCTGGAACTAGTGCTTTTTCTTGTGTGATGTTAGCTCTGTTTGATTGTGAATGGTTGAATACCAAAAACATTCACTCGGAATAAATGAGGCCCAATTCTTTATCCCCAGGGTCAGTTTCCTTCTATAGAGACCCTAGTTCTGGTTCTATGAACTAATTTTGACTCTAACTGATGCAATTTGAGAACAGATTCTTCAATGCCTTATCCACACAGATCACTCATTCATCTATCCTCTCCTCCATCACTAAACTCACAACCATGAACCTGTGTCCTTGTCCATTACCTTGTTTCTTACCTTGCCAGAACAAATAAGCATTCTTTTCAATTGTGCTTAAATAGGTGTATGTGTGAGTGTGTGTGAGAGAGAGAGATTGTGTATGTGTGTGTGTGTTTAAATGCACCTCCAAAATGAATTGATTAGAGGAAATTATATTTGTGAAATATAATGCCTATTCCTAGTGAAGCTGCTTATGAATGACCAGAGGACGATCAAAATTTCACAATTTTTAATTCTGATTTATAGTTTTCACTTTTAGCCTTTTTATGGTCAAGGGGGAATGTCACAAATAAGCAGGGTCAAGCTTGGTTAAATGTCAAGGAATCAGAGCCCTTGCTGTGACTCGTCCCAGAAGATGAGAGTAGAGACTGCAGCCCAGGGGAGAAGTCAGGTGTTCATTTTCTGGGAGATTGATTAGATGAAAACAAAAATGAGGGGAAGAAAGATCTATAGCAACTTTGAACATGAGAGCTGCCAGCAGAGCAATAGCTTCGAAGACATCCAGAAATAAGAGAAGGTATAAAGAAATATATCAGAAAGAGAGCTGGGCCCCACATGGCAGAGCCTAAGGTTGGGAGGCAGACAGCAGAAGAGCAGCTTCTGTTGTGAAATCTGAGTCCTGGCAGCATGTCTCTTGTGTGTGGAGAGTGAATACTTTTTTTGGTGCCTGTTTTCAACTTGGATTTGGCACAAGAGTAGGTTGACATAATGAAATGGGCATTTGGGGCAGCATTTGGCCAAGTAAAATTATATAGCTTCCACCACGATGTTTGGTAGTCACTGACTACCAAACTACTTAACTAACTACTACTTGGTAATAGTTAAGAACTGTGTCTGCTGTTCTTAACATGTGGTGTTAGCCCAACTATTTAACAAATCTGGGCATGGATCCACTCATCTATAAAGTAGGGCTAATGATGTGTACCTCACAGAATTTCTGTGAGAACTGTAAGAGTTAAGTATTCAGTGACAATTATCATCCTTTCCTATGACTTCATTATTTATTGAAAAGATGATTGTCAGGAAAAAAAAGGACAACATGGTGAATCAGAAGGAAAAGTGGAAACTAAAAGAGAATAGGATTTATTTTTTTAATTTGGAAATTTTTACCCACTGTATATGCTACCCAGTCCAGCAATTCCTGGCCATATACGGCTGTTGCATACGTGGAATGACATCACATGAGACGTTGGGAGGAATAATTTAATACAAGAGCTCCCATGGGTATTGTGATGAATTCCCTCATAAGAACAAGTGTCAGGATGTATTGAAACAATGCATTCACCCCTCTGCCTCATCACTTTGTGCTGTCCCAATACCAGTGTCTGCTATTATGGCTGACATATCTCGACTCTCATGAAATGAGTGTGGGAAGAAGTGAGGAAGGGAGGGGAGGAGGGAAACGCCGTGGAAGCAGAAGGAAGGGAAAACGCTGAAAGAAATAGGCAGTGCCGTTTTCTTCCAAGGCTAAAAGGAGCTGCTAAAAGTCTTAAATAAAGTGTTCAATGCAGAGAAATTTGGGGGATGAAGATAGAGCCTGGTGCAGTTGAGGGGGGGGGGCATACTTCCAAATGATACTGAAGGGATTTGACATCCCTGAAAGAACCAAAAATGGTAGACGAGTTGGGGGTTGGGGTGGGGGAGTGCTTTTCTAAATTCCACAACCCTGATAGTGTTAAATCATTCCAGCAGAGTATGTGTAAGCCAGCATCTTGTGTTTATATGTAACTTGTCTATGTCACAGTCCTGTTAATAAGGGACCAGCAGGAGGTGTTCCCCTTGGCCATCTTTCTCATTTGTTCTACAGTCACCAGTTTCCAAAAGAAATAAATAAATGAAATAAATGTTGGGCACATTTTCATTAACTGTTTATTCATTATAAATAGTAAATATTTACTGCACTTTTTACATGAAAGACATTTTTACAACACATCATTGTTGGTTGAGGCTGCAACACAAAGATACTATGTCTCCTGTTCCATCACCCTTGCCCAACGTATAAAATAGCTCAGCTCTATGTCTAATCCCACTAATGAACTACCTCATTGTTCTTAAGTCTAAAGGGAATGTTTTTGTGCCTACCTCATTCATGGTTCCAGGAACAGAAAGAAATAAATAACAGCACCTCCCACCTTCTTCCTCTTAACATTTCAAAACACAGATTTATTGACATCCTAAATGTCACCACATAAATGTATGTAAACCTCTGTTCCCTATCATCCTTTAATATCAGGTATAATTGTATAATTTAAAAGTACAAGAGAGCCACATGGACATTTCTGTTCTCGCCCTGCCTTTCGTAGAAAAGAGACAAATGTAAACGGCATCACTGTAGAAAGCATAAATCTTGGGCATGGTCTCTGAGCAAAAGGAGCAAGCAGGTCAGGGCATTGTTGATTTGGCAATGAGCAAATATCACTGCATTCTACCACGATGAGTAACGGGCTGCAAAAATAAAAACACCTGCAAAAATATAGTTCTGATTTCATGACTATCACCTTGGCCATTGCCAAAGCATCGGTGAGGTACACAGTATTGCACAATGAGAAGCAGATACATAATAGGTGACACTTCTTCTCCATCATGCCCTTCCCCCCACCCAGACTGGCTTCCAAATGAATGTGTCTTGGGAAGGAAATGCCATCCATCCATCCCCACAGCAGAAAACACGGTTTTCCTCCTCATCTCACATCCTGTACAAGACATATCTGGGACATCGATTGACAACTAGATTACAAATGAGGGTATGGTAATAATTTATTGGGGAGATCCTTCACAGCTAGTCTAACTTCCTATGAAATGATGGTGTTGATTTTCATATCAGGTTCCAGTGTGTCAAAGTCAAGGATTCCTCCATTCCCAATTCATTACTTAAGCAGTGTGAATGTGATAAACTTGGTCAGCCTTGGACATCAAACCTGTTCAGTTTCAAGAATTCAACTGTGATATATGGGGACATTCTGCTTGCTCAGACGAGTCCATGCAACACCTTCTCTCTCTCTCTCTCTCTCTCTCTCTCTCTTTCTCTCTCTCTCTCTCTCTCTCTCTCTCTCTCTCTCTC